ATATGACTGACTATGTTGTATCAGCATTTTTACCAATCTTTCCATTACTGATTGACAGACCAAATGATAAAGATGCTGATGAAGCGCACATAATGATGTAAAAGTAATGCATCCAACCAATCACCAGCCACAAACCAGTAAGTGTATTCACATTTTATTTATTGGAACCCTCAGATATGACTGTGTGTGTGTGTGTTGACTTACACAGTCCTGGACAGGATTGAAATGATGAATACAGTAAAAGCCAGCAGCAGCAGAGGCGTTGCTGTAGCCACCGCTGGCACCTCATCTGAAATGAAACATTCATGGTAAGGTCAGAATCAAAGGATTACTATAGCCCTTTCTAATTTCTCAATGTTCCCCTCCTCGACTCCTAGCCTCATGTCTTAGTCCCGCCCACAGGTGATGCGAGCGGAGGAGTCGAGGAGGGGAACCTAGGAGAGAGCTCCTAAAGCATATAATATTATGCTACAGCCGTTGTATATTTTATTATTTGAAGCACTATATGGTTTTATGAAAAATATCTACTCTTTATTTGTCTACTAAAGCCTACAATTAAAAGAGTGTAATTTAGGCCATATATATATATAATTGATTGATCCAGAGAGCCTCATCAATGCTCAATCCTCGATGTTCATTTAGAGAAATCAGATGTCCTTCAAGATGGCGCGCTGAAATCTATTTCCGAGTCACTACAGTGTAGTCGAGGAGTCAACGAGGCAAACATTTGAAAAGTGAGAAAGGGCTTATGTGTAAATGTTTGTATTCCTCTAATGACATCACACTGTAGATACCACAGTAAAGAAGAAACGCTTGGATCGTAGCACATATTTATTAAATTGTGTGTCATTTTATTAATATATTTCATCCTGGATGTCTTGTCTGAATAAGGTTTACTAAAAGCCCCGCAAATACAAAACGCTGCAAGATGCTCAAAATACAACAAACAAGGACAATGACAGTTGGCCAACTTTCTAATCCCTGAACGTCAACCAGTGCGCTGAGCTGTGTGCATCCCTTCTTAGTGTCCCACCGTTGACTTTTGACATTCTTGCAGCATTTTTCATTTGCAGTGCATTGTTTATCCAGCGCTTTTAGTAAATTTGCGCACTTTCCTCAAGTTGGTGAATGTTTTCTAAATGCTGTGCATGTGTTGTCAAGTCGGTGAAGATGTTTCTTTATTTGCATGTGTTTTGGCCCATGTGTGTTTTTATATTTGAATCGTTTGTTTGAAACTGCAGCGCATTTCTCCTAAGGGAAGTGTTTTGCGACGTTGTAGCGTGTTAGCACCTGTCGGCCACTGTAGAAGATTCAGTGTTCAGAAATTATTTTCCAGGCCTTGCCAATTCTTTAAGTCTAAAAGTATTATAGCAATGCACACAAGAAAGTGATTTTATTATTTGAGTGCTAGATGATATCTTACTTACTCAATTAAATTATTGAAATTGTTTCTTGGCCCTTAGAATACATTTGTCCGTTTTAATTTAGGTGCTAGAATGTTGAATACAAATGTTAAGTGTTGCATTTTAGATATCAGTTTAAGTATTGCCTGTAAGCTTGTAGGACTGCTACTAGGGAGAACATTTTGTTCTGGTATCGTAACTGATCTTTTTTTATCAAATGAATTACAGGGTTGACTATTGGTGCTTTATAAAATATAAAATATTTTTTTACCCAATGAGATTTGGGGAAATGAATCGTATAATATATAATGACTGATTGAAGTTGAAAATATAGAACAGTTTGGCATATTCACATTCAATTTAACTTAATGCGGGCTTTAAAACCAGGAAAAGAAAACCATAATGCCATATTAAGATATCCAAAATCTAAGACGATGTCTTATATCCCAATAATGATATATTATATCAGCCCTTTGATCATGATGGAAAGAAAATCTGCCACATATAGCAAAAAAGGTCAGACCTAACATCCTCCTCTAAACAACAAATCATATATTATCCTTATTCCTGTGTTAGGAAAGGAGATTTCTTCTTAATATCCAACAGTTCAAATACACTGGGACTTATAAATGGCATTCTGCTTTTAGAAAACAAGTAACACTCACCAACGTTTGTTTTCACAGGGATGATGTTTCTAGTTGCATTATCAACCAATAGGAGAAGAGAATACTCAGTGTCGGGTTTCAGGTTGATGAAGGTGAGCTGCCATTGGTCCGGCCACAGAGACAGAGCTGAAAAGGAGAAAGCAAAGCATGCTATTATCTACTGATGGGTCGTCAAACAACTTGGAAATATGACTTGAGAAACATTCACAGTCGAGGTTTTAAAATAATGAACCAACAGATTCACTTTTAGCTTCCAAACAGCAGCGAGGAAATATATTGCTTTGTCTGAATTCACCATCTTCTACTTTGAGCGCCTTATAATATCATTACGTTTTATATTCAAAAATGTGTGTTTTGAGCAAATTACCAAAATGGGATTTCCTAGTAAAAAGGTATTTAAATGTTTCAGTAGAAGGTTTGCCTCCACAAAGCTCTCAACTGGTGGTTATCAGCTAACAATGGTAGCAGCTCTAACAGTAATTGTACATGTTCAGGGGGTGCTCTTGTACGCAGGGGCTCTTGCCACCTCCTGGAACTTGTAAACCACCAACTGAACTCCTTAGGAAAAATGATCTCTTGTGTAACGAAAACATACCCAGAATCTTTTTTTTTTGTTGAAAAATGTGGGAAACAAGCAATGGAGAAATCTTTCTTAATTTCAGATTGAATATTTTAAAAATTAAAACGTTATTTGGGAGTTTCCAGAAGCACCAAGTCGCGCTGGATGCCCCTGATTTGCATAAAGTAGCCTATACCTCAACTTGATGCCAACTACTAGTGGACAAAATGACGCACATTGTCTAGAATCGCATTATGGCGCTACCAGAATGCATTACATGGCTGCCTACATCCATGATTACACCATCATAGCTTTGAATACCCCTGTTTTAGAAGAACACCTACTTTGTCTCTCTGAGTCTCTCCTCAGCATCACTCTGTATCTGTTCTCTGTGACTGTTCCAGCCTTCCTTTGCCACACCCACTCCACCTTTACTGTCGTCTTGGTCACGCCCACCACCTTCAGTTGGACCGCCTCCACAAGAGCTGAGAAAACACATTTATTATTATGTTGCTTTGTTCCAAAGAGTGGATGCAATCATCATGACCACCATGTTCACCTCCCTGCTGCAGACTGGCAGGCAGCGACTGAGGAGATCCACACTGCTGGTTATAGACGGGGAACACAGTAATCAGGTAGGAGTCCTCAGGGTTAACATCTGTAAACACACCACACACTGTTAGTTGACATACTGTACAGAGAACAAACTGTTTATGGTATTCTTAACCTTAAAGGGAGCTATTATGCACATTTCCAGGTTTAGTGCTGTGACATGCTTTAATGTTCAAAAAGCTCTTTATTTTTCTCATACTGCCTGTGCTGCAGTACCTCTTTTCACCCTCTGTCTGAAACCAGAGCCCAGTCTGCCCTGATTGGTTAACTGGCCGGCTCTGTTGTCATTGGTCAACTGCTTAGGGATATCCCACCCCTTAGACTATCACGTACAATGTGTTGGAGCGCGAGCCAATAGAAGTGCAAGTATTACGTAGTGATGTCACTATGTTACATAAGTGAACAAAAGCCTCCAATGGAGGTGTCTACAGATGCCTGTTAGCCTAATCTGCCGACATTTCCCTCCTGACACCCTGTCTGTATGTCAGCATGCACACTTACAGTACATAATGAAGGTATAAAATAACAAGACCAATCCTTATTTGGTTCATCATTTTAGAACATTTCCAATCACAGTATTAAAGGTCCCATGTCATGCTTTTCCGGTTATTACCCGTCCCCTTGTGTGTTAATTTAGCTTTTTCTGCATGTAAACGGTCTGCAGAGTCACAAACCCTCAAAGTACACCCTGTAGCGAGTAAAATTCTAACACAGAAAAGATGTGTCTATGCTGCCCCAGAACGCCTCGTTGGAGATTTCTCTTTTTCAATTTTTGTATTCCTGGTCATAGTGACGAAACCCTGCGGAACTCCGTACACACACACACTCGGAGCTCAGGCTGTGAATGTGTGCTCAGGCTGAGTTCCGCTGTGCCTCGCAGACCCCACGCAGCAACCAGGAAATGACACCAGTAATCCAGCTCACACTGTCCGCTCCTCGAGCCTCAAAGGGCGGAGCAGCGAGCCCCGCAACGTCCCGCCAACACGGCACCCAGACCCCATGCAGCATTCTCATCTGTTTGTCATTACTGGCAGGGCCGTGGGAAGTAGGGGTGCTGAGGGTGCTGCAGCACCCCCTGGTGGAGGACAGGGGATCTGCACTTCCACAAGATTAAATGCCACGGGCTCACAGGGAGGGGGGGCAGGAGCTCCAACAAGCCTGTTTTAGGACAGAGAGGAATACACATAACCTTACAGAGATGCTGTATGAGAATCCAATGTGAGTTTGGAAAATTGCACAATGTAAATCTATTCTAGTAGACCTCAACAATTAAATTATGATCAGTAGAAATGGCCATGTCATGGGACCTTTTAAATTCGTATTTATGCAAATAATAACTACGGTAACCACTTCTTAAGAGTTTACTGAAAATTGGTCAAGCGTTGTTGAGTATTTATATTTATTATGTTGCATTGAGGTTGTTTTATCACAAAGAGAGGCTTCACTAATACAATGGGACAAGAAAAGCAGGGAAGAGCCGCAACAGCAATTACATTTAAATGTAGGACTGAATTTAGGGAGATCATTTGTCATTGAAAATATTTTATAACAGATCTTTTCTTCTTTCTTTTTCATGCATTTTTTCCTCTTCTTCTTACTTCACATTCTGTCAGCTGAAAGGTAGGTCTTTCACTTTGCCTTCACTTTAACAGATGTACTTATTGTGTATACATTTTGCTTCCTCTCAGCCTAATTTCCCCAATATCCATTATTTCTTCTCAAATAACTGTCAGACTTGTGTATTTTCCCCTCACCTAAAAGTGATTTTAAATGCTATGCAAACTTAAAACTAAAGTGAAATACTGTTTTTCTTCCTGTAGAAACCGTACGCATGTCAGATCCCCGGCTGTACCAAGCGCTACACAGATCCCAGCTCTCTACGCAAACATGTCAAGATCCACTCGGCCAAAGAGCAACAGGTGCGTAGAAAGGTAAGACAGCTTCTACACAAGAGGGAAGGATAAAGGGATTAAGTTCTATATAAAGACACAATTATAATGCTAAAACTCTATTTCATTAGAGTTTACAATAATCAATGCCATTTCATTTACATTGTATCACAGTACACTCACTACACTCCCCACTCCCTCATGCCCACACAGGCAAAACCAAACCAACAAATGCTTATCAAGATAACTTAAACAACAGAGCCATAAAAAGAAACATCGAAAGGAAAAGAAAAACATCAAAGTCAAACAGACAAATAATTATACAATACAGCGACAATGTAGACAATGACAACTCCACGACTAGTATTTCCAGCCGTCAGGACTAATAGCCACAGAATGCACCATTCCATCACTGGTCATATCTCAGATATATTTTCCAAGTGAGAAACCAATGGCAACCACAGAGCTTTTTAGCATGTCTTAATTCAAGTCAATAAGGTAGGAATACAGGTTTTACAAACAGACTGTAATCTGTCCTGTTCTGATGTACATTATCCACGGATCAATCAAGTTGGTTTAAATGAGGGTTAGGGCAGCGGAGGGGTGTCTCTGAGAATCGTTCCGTCAACAATAGATAAGGTTAGACCACATTTCATCGTGTCCATGGTCAAAAGCCTATTCTTCCTCTGACTGGAAGTGGGTAAATACCAGAGAATGGGCTCATTGTTATGGAAGGGGCTGGGTAGTGGCAGGCTGGATGATGTGTTTCTTTGCTGTAAAGGGAAAACACATGTTTGCTTGTAGCATTGTTAAAAAGCTGTTCAGCTGAAAACCCCAGTGAGCAGATGTTATGGGCAAATGTCAAACAAACGCTCTTACTTCACTCTCCAGAAGAAAGAGAAAAAGCTGTTCGGAGTGTCGCAGTGCGGAGAACCGAGCCCCACGTACAGTACATTCGATGAATGTTTAGCAAGAAAACTCATAAGGATCCCCTGGAGGACAAGCACATAAATATTTATTGACATACAGTGTTTCAGTCTCATAACGTGGAGGAGGCCAGCTGTACAACTCAATCAATCATCTGTGATTGTACTGGCCGGAGAGGCAGAAGGTCTTAAAGGATGTGGAGTCACGCACAGATATCGTTGTTATTCGTCCACTTGGCTCATCGCTGAGGGTAGAGTAGATTATTGTGATAGTGAAGAAAAATGTTTCCGACCACAGAATCGAAATGTGGGTTTGATTTTCATGAAATAACAAAGGCTGGATTTGTGGAAGGATGGACAGACTATGAGACACAGAGATACCGAGACCGATAGGGTTGAGATGATGATGAAGAATAAACCTTGAACAACGTCGACCTTGTCTTCTGTAACTGAAACACTGTCTTTAAAAAAAAAAAAAACACTCATACTAACGATTAAGATTGTTATGCCTCTCAGCATCATAGATCAGTTACTACTACGATACAAAAATATGTATTATTCGAAAAGGTTAATATCAAAGCATCATGACAAAGTAGGTTGAATAGGTGTAGCAGCACAGGCAGTGTGAGAACAATTAAGAGCTTTTTGAACATTAAAGCATGGAGACAGTAGAGGCACAACATACAAATATGAACCTGAACATAAACACAATATGTCCTCTTTAAGTTTTACTCAGCCTTAAAGTAATGTGGAAACATTTTTATTTATTTCATTGACCGTAATCGTTTATTTGGCAGGGACAATGCACAGTGATGAACACCTACCGGTAATTTTTTTTTTTAAATGTGTCAAGCGTAACAGTGCCAGATTTAGCTTTGAGCTCATTTCCATCCGCAGTCCCTCACATAAAATATTTAAGAAGTTTACGAACATATCAAAAACAAAATACATGATACGCAAAAAGAGCAAGAGCAGCATACACAAGTATTTATGACATGGCAGTACAATGTAGCAGCTAGCTACGACATGTATAGTGCAACAGAAGAAACAAGAGCTACCTAAAGTGCAAGAGGAGACACCCCTGTGTTAAAGTGCATTTAGCGGTGATTGCACGTCTGTTTGTTTCTCAACCATTCTTTGAGTTGACCTTTTAAAACTATTGAGAGTGGGACCATCCCGTATCTCAGTTGGGAGGCTATTCCACAATGAGCTGCCTTTAGTGGAAAGTACATTTTGTCCATCTACATTGGTGGGTGCTTTGAGTGGCAGGTGGGTGCATTAGCCACTAGCTGCTCCCCCATGTCACCTCTTATCAGGACAGAAACAGCGCTTATCCAGCTCTATATTGGAAGATGACTCACACCCTCTGCACACAGTGTCAAAGCTTATTCCTTTGGGCCGGAGGTTAACATGGAAACGTTTAACAGTGTGACACAGATGCTAGGGTAGTAATGCCTATTTGTTTGTTTATTAACTCCCTGGATTGATCATGTTTGTACTAGTGGTGTTTAAATTACCTTAGATGTGACAGGGGATCCTTTTTCAGAGATATGTCTGTTGTCTGTGTTGTTTTAGAATGTGTATCCAAATGGATCCCTTTCTTCAAACCAAATCTACCAAATAAATAACCCCAACCTGATGATTAGCCGGGTTTTGTTAATGCAAAGATGGCGACTCACATTGAGCTTCACAACATCATTTCAGAAACCAACGGGCGACGTACATTCATATTTTACACAGTCTAAGATCCACTTCTTCTTTTCTCCATAAAACATGATTTGATATTGGAGCCAAAGCAGTAGCCATTGAGACCTTTAGTAGATTGGTTTAAAACGTATTTCTTTCTACATACTTACCGGCCCCTGTGTTGAATTTACAGGTTCTTTGAAGGTGGGTCTCCTGAGTAAAGGGAAAATGTGGTTGTTGGTACAGTGCTGGTGTGTACCTCAGCAACTGTAATGTTTTATTACAGAGGAATCCACTGATGTATAATACAGAGGTCAGCTGTTACGCTGATTTATAAGGCAGATGTCTCATTTCTGAGACAAGTTAGGTTACGGTTTCTTCTGTGTGGCGTGTGATCGGCTCTCCAGCTGCAATGTGTCTTCGGTTGCCCCACATTACTGTTGGCAGGGAAAGAAACAGAAGCAATCTTGTATTGGCTCTGAGTTGGTACATTGATCACTTAACCACAAAGACCAAGGCCAAAGCATGACTCAAAAAGCAGCATAGCTTCTCCTCTGGGCGCCCCTGACTGACAATGTAATATGTTACTGTTTCAAATCAACAATACAATCATGTTATTTCATTTAAAAGAAGACACACCCAGCCAAAAATAGAGAATAACTGTTTTGTTCTTCGGTTGTGTAATCTTGCAAACCAGATGGAGTTCTGTATAAATGACTCACCATTTCTTGTAAACATTTTCTGTTCTTTCTCCTGTTTGTGATTGACAGCTGCGGCCCTGTCCTCACCTGGAGCAGGACGTCCTGAGTGACTGTCTGTCCATGCAGCACCTCCACAGCTCCACCTCCTCGCAGCACCTCTACAACAAAGATGGCCGTTCTCCCGGACTGGGCCAAGACATCTTCACAGGTGCACACAGGAAGCTGCTCCGTAATCAAACACCTTGAATACATAACCACCCCCTTATGAAGGCATTAAGTAATCTAACACTTAGTCAGCAGCAACAACTCAGGTCTCTAGTGTCTCTCTGCGGTCCTTCCTTGGGTTTTTTCCCTCTTACTTCTTTATTGGCAAGACATTTACAACAATTAAATACTAACAGTAGTAAAGAAGTTGTATTATTTTCTCTCAATTGCTATGCCCTATTATAGAGATGAAGTACAATGTAACTCAGAGAGGTTTTGTATCTTAGTTTTTGTTCAAGCACTTTACATACATTTTTCAAAACCCTGTTGATTTCTGAGATTTCCCAAAACATGTCAGAAGTTTCTCCAACACATTTCACGTCTTTGCAACTGCTTACTTTTCCTCTGGTTGAAGTAAAGAAACACACAAGACTTTTCATGGGGAATATTTCTTAGTTGCAGTTAAGAAAGCTATCATTACTTTTGCTGCCAATTACTTAAATCCCTGGTAATATTGAGTTGGTCTATGTTAGCAATTGTAATGCTTTCTTTCTGTCATTTCAATCATTTATTGTTATAATGTAGATGCAGGCACTTAAAGGTGGGGTAGGTAAGTTTGAGAAACCGGCTCCAGATACACTTTTTGTTATATTCAATGGAATGCTCTTAACATCCCGATAGCAATGAATATCTGAAGTGCTTTGACAAAAAATCCATAAAAACATGTCATCAGTGGAAGCCGTAGCGCTGTAAAAAGCACGACCAATCATCTGAGCCGGCCCGGCTAAAATAACTGGATGGCCTACCTGCCTGTCAGCCTTCCATCTGTGCACAAACTTATCTCGTGCCCTCATTGGTCATGTGCGCGTTCGTGTGTGTTGGAGGAGGGGCTCTGTAAGGAAGTGGCATATTTGTTCCGGCTGTGTATTTTCAAATTCTAGCGCATTGGAGCTGGTTTCTCCAAAATGACATACCCCACCTTTAATACAAACTCTATTGTCTTGTAACATATTCAAATCGATACATTTTCAATATAAACTATGCTAAAATGTAAGCTAACTAGGGCATAAACACCTCTATCTAAGCTTTTTGGCTTGAATACATGTCATATAATACCGGCAGTAGCACAATCCTTGTCTCAAAATATCGATGGCCACGGGATTTTCTTCCAAACTAAAAACTAAGCCAGCAGGCGAGGTCTGAGCGCCAGATATCCCCACACCTGGCAAAGCAATCAGCGAGTCATTGGTGGTCATCAGCAGACATGTCAACATTCCTGCAGATGTATTATGGTAATTTTGTGCTCAGGCAGTAAAAACCATACTTACCGCACCTTTATTCAAACAAAAACACACTATAATTCATCTATAATTGCCTATACACATTTTATATCAACATTTTAGCTGTTGGACTCCCCTTGGTTATTTTAGTTCAGAAGTAACAACCTGGCACTTTTGTTTGCTTGGTTTGTAATTCATAACCATATAATGTTAACCTGTCATCCTGTCATGCAAAGGCTGCAAAAACCATTACAACCCACCACAAACGGAAACTTTTATTCGTCACATGTGGCCGCTTAAACATCCATTTTTCTAATTGATGAATTTGACCGTGACAACGTGTCAACACAACTTCGGAGTGGGAACAAGAGAGAGAGATAAATAGATTTTAACTATCTTAAAGACAAGACAAGACAGAGTCCCTCAGTTCACATCTGTCCTTGTTTTCTGCCTGTATCCCATCCAGTCTCTCCGTTGCTCTCTGTTATTATTGCTGGAACTCAACACTATGTTGACGACTGTGAACGCTCAACTTCTCCTTGAATGTCCACTGGACCTCTGCATCTTGGCTTTTTCCCCCTTTGCCTCCCTCTGTTTCTGAGTGGATGTTGCTTACTCCCTTGTTTAAAATGCTTTAAAGCCCCGAGGACTTTGCTCGTGCGTCGATGCCAAAGCGTTCAGGGATACGGTGTTATTCAAGGCCAGCAAAGACGTTGCAGGTTGGCATTCAGGATCTCCATTTTCATGAGTTCCCCCTTTGTTTCAGGGCCAATAGGATGCATGGAAGAGGTTGGGCAAGGTGGGCAGCCATCCCATCATTAACACTTGTGGAGCATAAAATGAGTCATGCTTCCAGTCAGAGTTAAACTTGTTTTCCTGTTATAAGTCTGCTCTTGTTCACATGGCTGCAGCAGGACTTACGAGAAGCCCCTCTCTGTTTTATGGAGCATAATTAGAGTTCACTGATTAACCAGAGGAAGGACTCATCAAAGTTTTAGTGCAGATGTTTACATGCTCCTGCTATTATGCTGAATGGCTGACATCCCTCTCCATATCCCTCTAACTCAGGACTTTCTTCCTGAGTTTGACTAAAAGCATTTCAGAATCCAACATCTTCAAAAACATAATCCTCTATAACCTGTAAAGAGTGCCATCACATCCTCTCACTCCTCTCCCACCAGAAGGAACCAGCGATGAAATTGAGGCAATCACAGCCATTATTTGTCGACTGTTTTGCCCGGTCTGATAGCAGATGTTGGGGCTAAAGGGGAAAACATTTAAGGACTGTGATTGATGATTTGGGGGTAATGAATCAAGCTTGTAACCATTTCAGAGTGCTGTCAGATCAGGCCCCAGCATGCTTCCACTCGAGAACAGCTGCGCCTGGAAACGGTAAAACCAGGAGCGCCGATCTTTTCCCCTCCTTTCATCTCCTCCTGTCTTCCCCTCTCGTCACTGGTTAACTGCCCCAACAGTCAGCGGGTGGATCCTGGGAAAGAAATCATATGTTAAACGGAGCGGAAGATGGCAAGAGTAGATTTATTGTGCTGGTGGAATAAGTGAAGATCCAGTGTAACTTCTCCCAACTTAAAGACTTGGATTCTGTATTTCACTGCGATTTGTCAAAGGTCTCTCTCTGGAGCAGCATTTTCCGATTAAACAAGAGGAAACTTTTTGTTGACAGATGTGTGAAAGTGCAGCTGCAAAAACTGCCAGACAAAAGCACAATGTGGTAACAAATTGTCACACTTTACAACAGCATATAAGTACGATGACTGACTGGAGCAAATGTGCTACAACGGCCCAACACTTCAAAAACCCATGCAAATGTGTTATCCCCAAACATCGAAAAGCGCTCCTGTCCCAGCTGTGAGCATCACTTTTTAGTGTCGCCGCTTCCGTTGTGTTTTGAGCTTCTTGCACCTTTTCTTTTGTGTTTGCAGCGTTTTGTTTATTAGTAAACAAGACGTTTCGTCAATATGGTGAATTTGTTTCTTCATTTGCATGTGTTTTGGCACGTTTGTGTTTTTTTTATTTGTCTCATTTTTTAACTTGCTCCGAATGTAAAGGTTTTGGGCTGTTAATATGCATTTGCACCTGTCCACCATACATACTGTAAGTCGAAATACTAGCTGCCCCCCAAATGAAAATATAAATACTTATTACTGGAAAATGTATCTTTTGGATTTTGGCTGTTGGTCAGACAAAACAAAACATTTTAATTCAGCACCTCTGGCTCAGGGAACTTTGGTAGAATTCTTCCCTAGGAACAAAAAGCTGTTACTACAAATATTATTAGTTGCAGCAGCCGTTGGTTTCCATTGTTTCTGAACAGGAAAAACGAATCTGTGTTTAATACGAGTCCACAGCTTGAAACAGTAGAAAAGTTGGCGACATGCAGCCAGCTTCAGTAGAAAATGATGCCCCCCACAGACCGCTGTCAATCAAATATTCATCAAATATCAGTCAGCAAATCCAACTCTTCTGTTAATTATTTTCTTAGTATTTATGTAAAAATAAAATGATACAGATACAGTGTAATGTACATTCAAACATACACACGCAGAAGTACTACAGATATATGGATAGTCATGTACTCGCACAACCATGAGGGCGTACAGTAACCCAATTTACCCTCTTTAAATACCCTACGGCTCAAAGTCACCGCTCAAACACATGTAACATTTTAGTTTATTATTGTGTCATAAGCACAAACAGCTGAAAGGACAAACAAGGCCAACCCCATGGCAGTACAATCAATGTACCCTAAATTACAAACAGGGCAAACACAGAACATTCAACATTGTGAAAACAAAGATTCCATTGCCATGAAATGTCTTTTAATTTGCTCAAAGCAAAGATGGAGAGCAGAGGCCTTGAGTTTATTTGACACATTTACTGAATTAGCTTTGTTTGTCTTTCAGGCCTGTACGCCGGCTCCAGCACCCCCCACCACAGCGCCTCAGTGGAGCTCCTGCCCCCCAACCCCTCCTCCGTCCCCTCCGCTGACCTCCCCTCCAGACAGCACCGCCTGGACCGGGACCTCGGCAGCCCCCACCACCTGTCCCCGCTGGCAGCCATGGACCCCAGAGACGGGTGAGTCTTCTGTCTGTGGACGTGTTACGTGTTGAATAAAAAATCAGTCATGTCACGTTAAGACAAATGAAAAAATGTACACTGCCCGGACATTTTGGAGTGAATAGTCTTAAAGGTCCCCTATTATACTGTTTTTCATCAACATATTATAGGTCTCAGATATATACAAACATGTCTCTGAAGTGTTTGGCTCCAAACACCAAACAGATCATTGCAGCATTACCCATAATCCCCTCTGTTTCAGCCCTGTTTCAAAAGTGCTGATTCTCTGTCTGTTACTTTAGATGAAAATAAGGAGCCCCTCCCCACGCCCCTCTGAGAGATATTTGGT